CGTTTACGATTTTTTTTTCTTTGTTATATAATCGCAGTGAAATTGAAGAAAATTAAAGATCCTCAAAGATAACTTCCTAACGTACTTCCAAAAGGTCCTTCCTTGAGAAATATTATCTTCCCGTCTTCCATTCCAGTTTTCACGCGACGAATCCAGTCGGCACAGTACGCAGGTGAAACCACCAGAACGATCAACATCAAGCACATAAAAAACTTGGCACCCATAGCTTGTTGTTCAGGAAAACGGCCCAAAATGACATAGAGAAAAATGGTATTCTGGCACTAGTTAGCAAAAAGATCTTACAAGGCTTTTGAGATTTCAGTTGTACCAGTGCTTCTTGTACTCGCCTAGACCTGAAATGAAGATCTCCCAGACACACACGTCATTTATGTAGTTGGTTGATGATGACGTGTTGGTGTTACCTTACTATGCTCTGTGATTGGATGGAAAAACTCGTGCCAGTCGGTTTTCAACCCATGAGAAACAAAACCATTTGAACTAATAGTGACTCTCACGTCCATCTCCCCATGCTTGGCACCTCTTGTTTATAGTTCCTTTAAAGTTTGATTATATACGTATTATAATACGTATAGCTTGTTAGTTCTTGTCGTGTCAAAGGAAGATCACGATATGACGAGTAGAAGCGGAAGCTGCTGTTGTACGGGGGAGTAGGACTAATGTCGTTGTGGTGCCGCGTCGCGCCGTTCAGGGCACCGTGCCGGCTCAGCTGGCGTGACCGTATCTCCCTCTGCAGTACGCTATCAATGAACTACATGAACGTATTCCTACGCCGCCCGAAATACGGCGAGAAATCGCTATGGAGTGCGTGAAAGAACTGTCGCCGATGCGCAAGCCTGGACTGAAAGCGCGCTCGATTTCGCTGCGACAGATGATTGGGCCTGCTTTATCACTAGACAATGGTGTTAGCAGAGACACCGACTCCCCTACGGTGGAGAAAATGGAAAGCGATGATGTAGTAGAAGAGAATCCGAAAGTTAGGCGGGATACTGTTCACTCGATGCCAAAGCAACCAATTGTCGTCCCTGCGTACCACCAAATGCGACTCGCGTGGGAAGGGTCAGAGGAGGTTCTTGAAAATTCAAATGTTCCCTCATTTTAGATGAGGCCGGCAATTGTAGTATTTCATTGTGGGCCAAGTAATGGATTATTCACATCTACGCCACCGATATCTCAGAGAGGCTCAGGGCAACATGTTCATGATCCATCTAGGACAAATTTTCACGTGCCACTCGGGCGGCGAACTTCCAACGCCGTCACGCTTGCGTTTACGAGTGTCAACCGCGTACAACAGAATTAAGCAGCTACAGCAGGAGCACCAAAAATTGCAAGAACAGTATCAAAAATCTTGATGGCCGTCTGAGCTTTCTGACCAGCAAGCAGTTCACTCCGAATATAACTATACTCAAATACGAGCAACAAGTGCGAGATGAATTAGCGAAACAGTACGAAAGGCTTATGGCAGTCGACGAGCAAGAACGAACTGGCGGGAAAGTTGGACTCATGGAGCCGGGTGTGGAACAACAAACTGCATATCAACCAGACCAAGAGGCTCCTTATTGTCTTCCGTTATATCATCAGCTACAACAACTTCACATTGACGCTCGTCACAACCCTCTTCGTAGGACACCATCGTACAAACAAAATCCACATAAATAAGTGTGTAGAACATCTTCTTACAAGCGCGCTCAGATTTGCGGCATGCTGGCTCCATTAGAAAGCGAATCGCCTACAGACGTTCTTGAAAACAAGGAGCCACTTGTTCAGGAGGATAGTGCGAACTTTGGAGAACTTCCTTTAGAGTATAGAGTACAACGCTAAGTCTTCAGTAATTATGAGCCTCGTTGTTCAAAGCAGGTTTATAAAATTCAGTTTTACCGATTAACTAGTACGTTTTGAATGCTGTATTGCTTTTACCTTGTCATCTAACTGCATCTAAGTAAGAGAGATACAAGCGAAGACTTCTATAGGTCGTCCTAGATTCGGTGCTGAGGATTGCTCAACTTCGAAAAACCGTCCAAAACATGGATGTTTCGCATCGAATTATGAGCACAAATTTAGCCTTTGGAAACAATCGCGCTTGTTTTAAATCTTAAATTTAGAGCAGAAACGAAGTGAAAATATGACATCTACTGCATGCCCTACTTAATCCTGCTTTGAACGACTGGGTGCTGGTAAATTTATACAGTATACGGCGCTTAAGTATATTTCTAAAGATGGAGGGAAAGTACGTTTTTATGGCCCTTTCGGGAGAGAAAGTAGATTTATAATAACACAACAGATCCCTGTGAATAACTATAAAGTGAAAGAATACATACAAATAATTTGTTTTCCGAGCCTTACGGCTTTGCGCTCGTTTGACGGCCAAGAACAAACTGTATAAATACAGTGTATTTGTATGGAAACATGAGCAAACTCCTTGTACGTGTTGTTTTTTCCTCTAAAGGACACAACGGTTAGAGCCTTTTCACAGCCGGATACTGTAAACTGAACTTTAAACACCCTCCCCCGATCTCAAATAATCAGACACTCTAATAAGCTCCCCTTTTCAGGCGGAGAAATTCATCAAGTCCCTCTCTTTTAACCTTAACCCTTCCACCTATTCCTGCACAACTAGATACCAATAAGCGATAATTTTCCCTTCTCTTTTACAGGGTTCGCACAGTCTTGAAAAGTCCTTGAATTTCAGGGAGTCCTTGAAAAGTCCTTGAACTCCATTTAGACTTGAAACGTCCTTGAATTTCTCTGTAATTCCATGAAAAGCCCTTGAATTTTTTCAGCTTTCGAACGACTGGTGAAGTTAAAAGCAAAGTTGTTCTGCATAGACTTTGGTATTATTCTTTTTCTGATGTTGAGGAATTTGCGAACACTGTGATATAACCTAAGATAATAGCAATCCAAATGTGAGTTCAAATGCGAGCCAAAACCAAATTGACCGGTGGTTGTGTATAAAACTTTTCACGCTCGTGCACATGCCCACATGTAGCTTTTGTTCCAGTGTTATCGTTTGTGCTCTTGTGGGCTCTGAACCGTAGCAAATAATGCTTGGAAAATGTTGTTTTAACAGTCGTTGGTTATCAAAAACAGAATATAAATGGGTTAGCAGGCAAGTGAAAGGCAATTTAGATACAACCTTTTTCCGTTCTGTACAGTAAAACTATCAACTTAGGATTAGTGAAAGTGCATTCCGATCACACGTGGTGGGAAGTAAACACCAGGCGAACATTAAGTTGGATGGAAGCACTACTGGGCAAAGAACTATGAAGCTATTTGTACAAGGAAAAGGATCTGAAGGCCTGATTAGCGCTCCCTTGGCATTCAAAGTAGCGCCGAAAATGACGATAGTGGAAGCGCTGATGAAGATACCCTAAGATTACATTTCCGTTATTGGTCCTTGAAAATCAAATTTGGTCCTTTAAACGTCCTTGAAAAATTGTTTCAATTTTTTGTATGAACCCTGTTTTAAGCTCCCCTCGCCAATCCACCTATTCCTGTACAACCAAATTTCGATAAGCTATAATTCTCCCCTCTCTAACAAGCCCCTCTTTTAAGAGGGACAAAATCGTTACCCCCCACCCCACTCTTTTCTAAGCTCCCCTTCCCAATCCACCTATACCTATACAACCAAATTCCAACAGAATCACCTTGCACCTTGCACATTAATCCCTAAATCATTGTCCGCTTCCGAACAGCTAGCTAACCTGGATAATTTCTGGTGGCCGTCCTTGCTTTCTAATTTTCTCAGCTTGATTCATCATCAAAGCGGTCAATGGCGACAAAATTGCAATCAAGCAATAATTCCACCATGAAACAACAAGTTATGTTATTTTGGGACACTTACAGGTAACAGCTAACTTACAGAATAGATCGCTAGCGCATATCCTGCTATTTTATTCATCGTTTCTTTACGGCTGTATACTATACTCCCATTATTGCATTCATTTCGATGAGTAGTTTGTAAGTAAGTTCTCGGCTGTGGGGTTTGGGGAGGGTAGGCATAAGGCTTGCTTACAGCCTGCATATGGAGAATATTGCACCAGTATTACAGTAGAACCTGGACCCAAGAGACGGAGGGGAGGGAAGGAAAGGGGCAGTGTGCACTGACAGAAGAGGGGGGTAGAGGTTGGGATGGGGATACTCTATAGTACGGTGTCCAATTCAGGAATTCTTCGCCTTTTATTCGCCCCTTTTTCTTCCCCGAGCGTCCAGAGCGCGATTTGTAGACAAACATATAGGTAGGTAGGTAGGTAGGGTAAGAGAGGACGAATGACGAGAGCGGCAAGAAAAGGAACGATCTTTCAAGTATCAGGTAATGCGCATTGTGGCTTATTTTGCCACGGCCAAAAGCATTAAGAGTCGGCGGCTGCCGAAAACTGCAAATAGTACTGAAAGAGAGGTCGGACAGAAACGTAGCTACCGAGAGGTTAACCTGGTCAGAATTCACCGGCACCGTGGTTTTAGCCACAGGATACCCAGGCGCTAGCCATTTATACGCTTGATAGGTTATTCGCTATATTTTTATGTGTCTTTCTTTGGCCGTTTTGGAAGGGATCTGTTAACCAGGGAAAGACACAGACAGATACATAAATCTTTTCCTTTTTTCTTTTTAAAAAGAAATCTTTTAAATCTTTTTTTTTTTTATGTACAATTGGAATGTAATTGGATGCAATGTGCAAGTATCTAAACAGTTATTGCTGCATTCTACTATGTTGCAATACTCTTGCAACATAGTAGAAATACTTGCCGCACTGGTCACTTGCAATTGTGTTGAAATTGTTTTTTCATGCAATCAGGCCCTCTTTTCCCAAATTGAAGAGAGGGAAAACAAGAGGGAAAGAATGGGTTCCCAGGAAACAAGAGCTTGATGAGAGAACTTGTTCTGAGATGATTACAACACTCAAAGCAACAAAGGATGCATCTAGTTTGAACAAAGTCTACTTGATATCATGGATAATCATCTGATAAGTGAGAATACCTGGAACTGCTTCAAAACAAATGAGTTTATTTACAACAAAAAGAAAATTAATTATACCAGTACAAAACCATCCTTAAAAATTAACTGTTTTAGTCATCACTATTAACTTGAAAATGCACTCTCAGATGGACTATTAACTTTTTGCTAGACTAGACTTGAATGCAAACATTACTACATAAGGATCTTTATCAGTCTTCAAAAGATGAAGCACTGTGTCACTATAAACTCTAACAAAAAAAGACTAAAATAACCACAGCCAAAATAACTTTAATTTAGCAGTCAACACAAATCAACCCTCAAAAACTACTACTGGTCCAAATTTATGAAAAGTGTAAACTGCAATTTAATAACAGAGAAGATCTTTATTGTTGGCTCAATAGTTTATTGTTAGTATAATAGTAGGCTGGATCAGTAATGAAGTCAATACTGCTTTGAAGTTGGTTCTCTTGTAAGTTATCATTGTCAAAAGTTGATAATTTACTACTATAAACTGAAGTAGACTTAAACCAACTGAATAGAATTTGGATTTTTAGTGTTTATTAATTTTTCATGTAAAAATTGAGATTTGATTTTTGTTGTTCCCTGGCACAGCCATTTCTGAGGCAAGCTAAGTTTTGACCTTGAAAGCTCGTAAACACTTTTTTTTTACCACTCACTTAATCACATTACCATAAATCTATGAATATGCAGTTATAAACTAGAAAGTTAAATATATGAATAGTACTGATCCTTGCTTCACACAAGGCTTTGGCCATCTTGTTGCTACATCATCTCAAACTATGTGGTGAGATATCTGTTTCTCTACAAAAAAAAGAAGACAATCACTTGTTCACTGGAAATCTATGAGCCGTCACTATTGGAAACACTCTCCTGTGGTTTCATGACATCAGGTAGTTCTGGAGGAGTGGACAAGGGAGCAATAACCACTGGTTCAAACTCTCCATCTACAATAAAGAATAAAAAAAGTGTTAGCATTCTACAGCCCTGGAGGATACCAATGTATGACCACTAACCACAGTAGGCTATGTTAGGATTGATCTAGAGTGTGCGAATGTGTATCTGGACGTAAAAAACACACAATCAAGCAAACAAAACAAGCAGAACAAGAAAAGAATCAAAGATGTTAGCGAGGAACAGTTTTTTTACAATTTTTTCCTTTTTGCTAGCACATGGTCACCTACTTTTCCCTTTTCTGCAAAATTACCTATCTTAATTAAGAAAACAAGCTGAAATACTTTACTGGAGTAACGATCACAGGCATAATGTAACTGTACACACAGGCATAATGCAATAATAACTCATAGTTATAAGTTTATCAGTTTATTACTCAACAGCTAATCATTTTAGCAAACATGGACAAGGATAGTGTTTGTACAACCACCAACTTCTGGATCCATGGATAAGCCCGAAGAACAGTCACGAAATAAAACGACAACACATACTAAATACTTATAAATCATTCACATCTTACATGAGAATCGAGGTTAATAATTTTGTACGTGCATTATAACGCACCTTCTCCTCTGAACGACAAGCTAATCAATGCCGGAGATTGGGCCTTAGCAGTCTGAGTAGTAAAACCGCAATCTTCTAACGTTTTGGAATCATCAAGGACCTGATCATCTTTGTACAACCTCTGATCTTCAGGAGCCTTCTTTGTGATTCCTTCGACCATTTTCTTTAGTTCGTAGACGGTCGTGGCTTCTTTACAATCGAGGAAGATGGTAGTTTTTTCACGACGCACCATCACAAAAATCTCCTAGAAATCCAAGAGATTACAATTAAGATTAACGATATGAATTATCAACAATATAATTTGCGTCCGAAATGATCCCAACACGACGGATTATCACTCCAGAAACGAACATATTGAGCGAAAATCCATTCCCTTTTACTCACCATGATGGCGGCCGACTGAAAGTCTAGCCCAGTTCTTTGCGTTCGCTGTCAAAAACTGACGCGCTAGTCCCAGTTTCCGATGACGTTATTCTCGTGACAACATTGAAACAGAAAGCATAAGATGGCGACTTCTGATAGAGATGTTAATGAACGAACCTCGACAGCTGGAGCGTCAAATAACGAACAAGCAAATGCGAACGCTAACTTTGAATGTAATATTTGTCTTGACACTGCTAAGGACGCGGTCATTAGTTTCTGTGGGCACTTATTTTGGTGAGAAAGTTGAAAGTCGTATATTTGGCTTCACTGTAGTGTGATGGTTCTTAAGACACGTAGTTAGCTGTCTGGTAAATGTATGTTTACCTTAACTAAGTCATCTATTTTCTCTCTTTTTAGCTGGCCCTGTCTTCACAAGGTCTGTTGAAAAACAAACTGTATAATATAATATTATTATTTAGGTATAGTCAGTTTAAAATTCAGGTGTACACTGAAAGAAAGCTTAAATTTAAGAGTATTGAGCTTCCTTGTTTTTAATTAGCTTTCTAATGTAACGTATCGAAAGTGTAGGTTAAACCACTTAAGGCATAAACTGCTTAATTCTATCACTACTTCACGGTGAATTTGTCCTGACTGCACGCTATATATCAGAGGTCATACTAATTAAGCAATTGTTCTGATATCCTTGTGTATAATTTCAAGAATAATAATTGCTGTGGGAAAATTATTATTTAAATAGACATGTATGTGGTGCAAGGTAAACTTTTTATTCATAATTATCTGTCTAAAAGAAAATGGATACTTAATAACACTGTGAGGGATCTTGATTTGCAAAAGCAAAAGCAATGAGTTTTTTTCCTTTCCTTTCTTTCAGTACATTTCCTCTTTAGATAAAAACACTGAAGATATTACAACCTGTACTTTTTATTTAGCTCATAATTTTGCTGGAAGTTTCATCTGTCTAACATGTATATTTTTTGCTTTATCATGTAGTGGTTAGAAACTCGACCAAATAAATCAGTCTGCCCAGTCTGTAAAGCTGGTATCAGTAAAGATAAAGTAATCCCACTGTATGGAAGAGGAAGCACAAATCAGGAAGATCCTAGGTACTGACCACAACATACTTCATGTAATGATCAGGCATGCAATAAGGTGTTGACAGTTCATCATATGTGGGCCAAAGTATGGGCATGGATTGTACTGGCAAGGCTCAGATGAAACCCTCCGACAGTATATTCACCAGATGAGGGACCTTGATTCATGGTACATGCCTGTATTGCAAGGTCCTGGGGCCAAAACCAGTCTAGTGGAATAACAGAATGTCCCCTCCTTGACAGGGCTTCAGCACAGGGCTGAAGGGGTGCTGCAGGCAGCAATTTCCAGTCCTTTGTTTGTTAATTATTATGTCTAACATTGGTTACAATCAGACAATAGTCCAAAGCCAGTCAAATGACAATACACAAAACGAAAGAGTGGGAGGGATTAACTTTGGTGCTAGATTGGCGACAACTTGCAGCCTTCTGAGAACGGCTGACTGTGAAGTCTCACAAGGCAAAAAACACGCCTGATTGACAGTTACCAAATATGAGAGTCACTTGTGGTGTGAGGCTTTAGTGATGAACAACAATTTTTTTTAAAAAAGAGGAACTTTATACTGAGTTGTACAATGAGACAGGGTAATAAGCATAGGTTATCGTATGAATGCGAGTGCAATTAGGGATGTACACTTGCATGAACCTTTAGGTGAGTGCCATTTGAAAGAAATGTTCAAATACTGAGAGTAGTGTAAATCCTTATTCCTCGAGCTTCCATATGATTACTTATAGGACTAGGAAAATAATATACCCATGCACGTTAATTTGCATTGCAGTGCAAATTAAAAATTAAAGATAAATTGGCTTGTTCTCAGCCAATCGCAATGAAGTAAATTTCTGCATCCTGTCACTTACTGTCCCCTTCATGCCACGTGGTACATAGGGCAGTAAACAATTTTGGGTGGTTGTATCCAAGGTGTCTCTTAAGCAGGGAGGGAATTGGGGACACCAAGGGAGATGATGGTTGTTTACCCAGACTACAGCTGTATTTGACTGTCAAAATTAGAAAACAGTTGGAATAAACCAACATTAACATAGGTCTCTTTTGCTTTTCTCAGGGAAAAAATGCCACCAAGACCTCAGGGAAGACGACCTGAACCAGAGAATAATGGAGTTAGTAAATTAAGAATGATAGTATATAATATTAATAATGATCTGTAAAACTTCCACTTTTTTCTCAGTTATGGGTGAACTGTGAAATAGTTGTAAGGATTATAACAATAATTTAACATCCAGGGCTTACATTAAGGGAGTAGTTAGCCACCTTCAGCAAGCCACTCTCTTCTCTTTCTTAAAAATACCATCAAGACAACTCTTAAGCCTCTGCTTCACTGTTGAGTGAAAGGCACTGCATATTTTCATATTTTTTTTGAGATTAGTCAAGACTTCAGGACCTGGTTTTACTATGAATGAAATTTCTTTCAAGTGTGCTAATTGTATATTTAATGCTCACCCCACAATGCCATATCTATGTGAAAAATGTGAACCCAAAAATAATAGTTTTATTCAAACTCAATCAGATATCCCACATGGATCAATGATAATTTATAAAAGATGTGTGGCTTCTTGAACCCGGCCACTTGTAAAATTAAAGAGTTAACCAATCAGAATGTTACTGAGAAAAAAGGTACAGTCAAACCTCCAGTTACTACTACCTCTTGTAAGCGACCACCTCTCCTCAGCGACCAGTTTTCCAAAGTACCAAAAGTTTCCAAGTCAAATCACTATATTTGGAACCTCTTGTAAGCAACCACGACCACTTTTAGAGCTAAAAGTTTGACATTTTCTTTTGTTTTTGACCCCCCGTAAGCAACCACTTGACAGATAATAGAGTGTAAATTGGATAGTAAGGTGTTGTAACATTATGGCATTCCTGGGTAGTACAAGAGACAGGAATTTCTCAATGGGAAGTACGAGATTTTTTCTTAAAATTGACTTTTCACATGAATAAAACATTTAAAACATGAGGTAAGTCTCTGCAGTCACCATATGCTAATGAGGCAAACTTTTGACCCAATATGGTCTAAGCTCTCGTAAGCGACCACCCAGGCTTGGCATTTTGAGTGGTTGCTTATGGGAGGTTTGTCGTTAATAATCTTTCTCTTAAGTAAACCAATAAAATTGAAGAATATGAGCACTAATTTTGGAACAATATTGGAACCCCAACAAAAGTGTGAAGTGTTGTGTACCTCTCAGGAAACTTTGCCATTTGTTAGTTGGCTTGTTTTTGATCTTAAATGTTGTGTGGTTTTCAATGGTTTTGGTTTAGTTTTTGTGAAACTGGTTTCGTGTAGTATTTATGTATTCATGTTAAACAGACGCCCACTTGCCTTCCTGAAAATAATACCAGTCCATTGTTCTCAATTTATGTCTAGGTGCACCAGTTCAAACTGTTTTACTCTGTAAAATCATAGACTTAAACCAACAAAACTGACACACCCCTTCTGGCACACAGCTTACTCCAGTATTATGAACAAAAATTTATGATCCCTCTGAAAAACGAAATCCCCAAACAACCAGTAATTGTTTCCTTCTCAAGAAATTCTGTTATGCAACCATACCCCTCCTATGTTAATACTCAAGTGCCACCCAGGAATTGGCAAGAACTACTCAGATCCTCAGACAAGTGTTGAATTTCCTGATCCATTCTTAAGACATTTTTTTCCAGAAAGCAAAGTGGAGAATTGATAATATTATATTCATTTGGCAGTTTTCTCAGAATATATGAACATACTTGACATTAAATGTGAAAGTAGTAAGTACTAAATTATGTGATGCTTGTTTAGGGCTTCCCAGGATTTGGTGGTTTTGGAGATGGATTTCAGCTTTCTTTTGGTATTGGTGCATTCCCATTTGCCTTCTTTTCAACGGTGAGATACTTGTCGTAATATGTTCATCACTTGAACTTTGGGCAGTCATGTGTCCAGTTGAAAAATTAGCTCTTAGCAATACTTTGGTTCTCTTCAAAACAGTTTACATCTGACAGCAGTCATAATTATCACCTTGTAATGGTTTAATTGACATTATTCAGATATATCTTTATTTTAATGTTGCAAAAATAAGGCAACAATTTTGGAATCAGAGGCTTGACAGTACATTGAAATTTAATAAAATTCTGATAAAAGACAGGAAATTTAACCGAGTCCCTTTATTGTTAATTTACCAGACATGTTCAAGTCTGGTTCTGTTATGTGTGACCATTAAACAAGAGACGTCCACTTAAAGGAAATTCCTTGAGCTTTACTTCTTGTGATCACTGCTATGTTACTTTGTTCAGAACTATAAAATTGTCTGTTTCATTTCATTTAAAATTCTGTATCTAAAATTCATACTGTACATTTTTGTACTTTTGATTGTAGACATTTGGTGGCCAAGGACAGACAGCAGGTAGGTATTAAATGTAATTTTCATTCCAGTATGGATGGGTCGTATGTGGATTACAACTTCAGTTACTATGAAATTTCCTTTTAGCTTAAAATTTCTACTTTGGGTTTGAATATCGGAGAAATTGTTTTGAAAATCACCTGTTTTGTTGTCAACATGAACAAATTATATACAAACTACTTTTCTGCCCATAGAAACATAAGCCATTTCCTTCTTTTGATCTTCAGCGTAACTGATGTCTAAAATGTTTTCCCAATACTTTTAAATGTTTTTTGTATTTCAGCACCTGCTGGATCGCCACAAGCTGAAGATGAACAGTTTCTGTCCAAGCTCTTTCTTTGGGTTGCATTCTTGTTTATGTTTTGGCTTCTTATTGCATGATTTACTTATTTAATACACCTATAATACCATGAAGATGAGCTGTAGAAAAATTTTATACAGAAAAAGGATTAGACTATTGGTAGTCCCTCTTTTGCTTAGTCCATCTTGCGAGGCCGTAAGTAAACTGCCAGGAAAAAATGGCCACTACGCTTCTCGCCCCAGGATTTCATGCAGCCATTTTTTTCGACAAGTGATTTTCTTTTGTGTCACGCATGATGGACAAGCAAAAGAGGGACTACTTGAAGTCTAAAAAAGGATACCAAACTATAATATTAATGGTTGAAATTACCTTACTTATAGAGCCAGAAAATTTGTTGAATAGCACAAACAGCTCTAATTTCACGTCTAGTCATGTCACATGTTTGAAGGCTACAGATGTATAGGACTACTAATAAAAGGGTCATTAATCTTGTTTTGTATAGAAGTTAAAAAAGAAGAGATAAGGTGCACAATTTTCTGCCCATTTTGTACCTACCAACTGGCCACAAGTTTTCAGTTCAGGGACCAAGTGCTGTGTTGGTGATAAGATGTTCATCATATTGTGTGATATTTCTTTTCCAACAATTGTTGTTCTAAACTCATGCAAAATCTGATTTGGATCTTATCATTATTTCACTGACCTTCACCTTTACCATCTGATTATTTCATTTCTAGTAAGTGCTATTTTGTTACTTGCACTACAAATAATATTTTTGTCCAGAAGTCGGATGAAAGATAATTTGCATTACATAGCAACATCCCCGAGCAAGAAAACAGTGAGCTCAATAAGTTGTCAGAGATTGAAAAGAAGTTTGTTATATGGCATCTTATCCAGTAGTTTGTTTGGATACACAACAAAAGTACAGGAAGAGTTGAATTACGTCATAGTTGAACTACCTTATTAGATGAAATTTTCGCGACACGTTAATTTCGTGAATTTCGCGATTTAAAAAAAATCGCGAAATGAAAGTGACGCGAACAACAAGTGTCACGAACATAACATGACGCGAGAATTAAGTTACTGTTAACATATAGTCCAGCCGTTGCTTTTGTGTTACTGTTGACGTTATTGTACATTTGATAAAGTTGGTTTACTAATTTAAAGGACGTGTAAGTAACACTGCCAAGGAAATAAATTGTGTATTACTCGAAAACGCGAAGTTAAAGTGTTTCAAAATACATAATTTTCGCAAAATTGCGGAATTTAAGTGTCGCAAAATATGCGCACCTCAAAATCGCAAAATAAATGTGTTGCTTAAGTTTCATGTAATAAGAAGTCTAATTGTTAGAGGAAAAAAACGTCGAAGGAAATAGAATTAAATAGACCATAACCAGTAAAAAAGATTATTTTTTTC